ATTAAGCAGAACTTGTGTTGCCTTCAACAGCAACACAAGAATTGAAGATCTCCAGTGGTCACTTGTGACCTAGACACTTCGTAAGTAAATGACTGCAATGCATTCTACACAGGGCTGCCCTTGAAGACCACCCAGAAACTACAGTTGGTTCAGAATGCAGCAACCTGAGCAATAATGGATATGTTGCAGGTACAATTCAAGGTGCACATTAGTAAAGTAATTCACCATAAGCCACCTCATGTTGTCTTTTTGCAAAAACACAGATATTCTGGGTGATAGTCAACACTCCTGTCCATTATGCTATCATAAATTTAATTTTTCAACCCAAGAAATAAATTTTCTACATAGGTTCTCAATAAATTATGTATAGCTATCATCCTGTCTGCTATTTAGGGGAAAAAAGAACACTATAAAAGTAAAGAGAAGTAAAACAGCAATAATACTGATTTCCATTACATAAGATTTATGGATTTCAAGTTTGTGAATGTGTGTGGGAGGACAGGGAGAACAAATATTATATGCAAATGAATACAGAACTCAATGGTACCAGCCATTTCTTCCTTAATACTGACATTTTAAAATCACATTCAAAATGACTGAATAGTGGTGAGTTGAGTTTTTCATTCTGAAATTCTATGACATTATTTGAACGCAATATAAAAATCTACTTACAGTGCTCTGTCTCCCTCTCTTTTTCATTTCTCTAGTTCTTTCTAAGGAAAAGTACGGAGCTAAGAATACATACCTCAAGTCCTCGTGTCTGCTGACTTATCTGATGGTTTAACTGCTGCAGTTCAAGACGAAGCTGCTGTTCTCTCTCAGACGATGGCAAAGATTTCCCATGATTAGCAATGTCTGTCATAGACAATCTCTCCCTTTTTGGATAAATAATAGTTTGGAAGGGGAAAAATTTTTTTTTGTTGTTGTTGCTTCTCAGTTTAATTGAGAAAACTTAAAACATATATAGCATGTGTAAGCTCAAATCTCCTACCTGTCACCAAGCCGTCCCTGAGAAGGTACATTTTGATGGGGTGAGTATGGTGAACTTCCCCATGCACTGTGTGTTCCATATGGGCTGTAATCTATTAAGAACAGAAAAATCCTATATAAAAATTATTCATTACAATTATTGTAATAGAAACCTAGTAATTAACTCAATTTACAAATCAACCTTCTGTGCAATCTTGTAAAGAACGCATTTACAACAGATCACTATGAGTCACCATTTACTTTTATACATATTATCACTCTTTTTAATATATATTGATTCTATGTAAAACAAACAGGGTTTTTTAATGTTTGCCACAATTTTAATAGCCTTAGGTCACATTTTCTTCCTTTCTTAAACAGCTATAGTTCACAGCAAATAGATCTGAACATGCATATCTTAAAGCTGCATGGCCCAATCTGTGACTGCCCACTCTATGAGGAATCAAGCCATCTTGGCTGACTTTTCCATCAATTTTCCTTAGCAACATTACAAGGTAGCAACATGATCTTTAGTTTCTAACTTTTATCTTTTCTCTATGTAATTCGAAATTTAATTGGTGATCTCAGCCGAAATTTCCTTTGGAAAAGAATCCTGCAAGTTTTGTGCATTATTTGTAAGCCTACAGTAGTAGGAGTAGTGGCTCCATCCCTACTACGATTGTTCTGGTAAGCTCCATAAAAGAATACTCCCAGCTTTTCAATATTCTATTGAAAACTAAAAATTTGAATGATCTGAAAATAACCTTTTCTATCAAAATAATAAAAAAGAACACAAATCTGTCTTATACCCAGAGACTCGGGACTAAGACTGTGAGGTGATGGCCCCTCCCATAAGGGATAAAAGCCAGCCCTCAGAGGTTGGGTTCTTTGCAGGAAGCAAAGAAGTTCTTTCAACTCCAAGTTCTTGTGGAAGTCTTGTCTATTCTGGTTTGTTTTCAGAGACTTTTGTTTTTGGATATTTCCCTGCAATTAACCTTGTGTTCTTGGCAGCCTTTCGCAACCTTGAAAGGGCTTGCTCCTATCTGGGACAATTAGTTTTAATGAATCTTTGCTTTGAATGAACAAAATTAACAGAGATGCATTAAAAAGGTTTGCTTTCATATGTACTTTGTGTTTATTTGATTTGAACGAGGCTTGGGTCAGAACAATGTTAGAGCAGGTAGCACATACTGATTGAAAACTTTTCTCTTCAGGCATAGGAGGTTGTTCTTGAAAATTACACTTAGCTTGCTGAATGCCTGCCAACCACATTTAATATGCCGTTCAATTTCCTTTATTGTATCACCTTCCATTGAGATCCATTGGCCAAGGTATAAGTAGTGGTCTCCTACATCTAGTTCTTCTCCAGATATAACTTTTTTTCTTTCTTTGGTGAATTTATTAAACATCACCTGGCTCTTTTTCAGGGTTATTTTTAAGCCAAATGGTTCTCCTGCTTTGTGCAGTTCTTGTATATATCTTTGTAGCTCTTCTGGGTGTTGTGAGAAGAGAAAATCATCATCTGCAAATCTTAAGTGATTTAAATAGGTGCCACTGATTATTATTCCATCTTTTTCCCAGTTTAGTTTGTGAAATACTTCTTCAAGGCAGGCTGAGAAAAGGATAGGTGATATTGTATCACCTTGTTGTACACCTTGTTCTATGTTGATTTCCACCCATTTATGAGTACTAGCATTAATTTTAGTTAAATATATATAAACTGTGTTCATACAGTAGAGCTACGAGAAGAAATCAAAAGTCCATAGATAGTCCTCAGCTTACAATCATAACCGGGACCAGAATCTTGGTCATTGAGTGAAAACAGTTACTAAGCAAGATACCCACATGATCGCTTCACTCAACAATCACAATTCTGGCTTTCCCAGTTGTGGTTGTTAAAAGTGATTTTTGGGGGGTCATTAAATGGAGTGCCAGGGAGAGGGCACTTTCCCTATCTCATCACATCTGGAACGTCTTGGGATTCCCTCCCCCCATACCTGGGTCCACTTACTTTTACCTTTTCCTGCAGTTGTAGGCACAACCAGCCAATCCAAAGGCACAGCCATCCTTCTGAGGCCACCTCTTGCATCCTGCAAGTGGGCCCCCTTATTGCAATAATGGGAAGGTTCTTTCTCCAAAATGCACAATTTCCAAATGACTGCAAGAATGATCGTGTTTTCTACCCTTCCTGGCTTAGGGTAGAAAACTAGCAAGTGCCATTGTCCTGATGGTTAGAAATCTTTCTGGCCTTCAGAATGACAGTGTTTGCTAGCTTTTCTAGCCCTAGGAAGACAGCAAACCTTCAAGATTTGAGGTCTATTCTTGAAGCCCACCAATGAATTTCCCTTCTCATCTGTGTGAGGACGGGAAATCCCTCAGTGCACTGAAGGAATAAAGATCTATGGTCCATTCTTGAAGCCTGCTGAGGTATTTCTCCTCTGCTTGCAAATTTCACTGCCAGCTTCCCCATTGAAAGGAGGGGTCATGTGACTGGGGGGGAGGGCAGAGTTGACCTTTCATGGATGGCCGGAATTGCTTTGAGTAATCATTAAACAATCTGTTATAGGTTCAGGACTTACTTGTATACCGCTATTCATGGGGAGTATTATTTCAGCTTTCTTTAGATTTTGCCAACCTATGCCTAGACCTGTTTCCATAATCAAGCCACAGTACTGATTCAAAGGTACTACTACCCCCCTCCCCCCACCAAAAAAAGAAAACATCAAGAAAATAAAGCTTTTTACCTGAAACACTGACTGGTTTTGCAGAAGCCCCTTGAACTGCCATGGCTTGCATGGGGCCTGGATTCTGGTACATTGCTTTGGAGGTACGTGAGATGGCACCAAACCTTGATACTGTAGGCCTATCTCCAAAGGGAATAAGATCGTCATCACCAGTCTCGGCTGCTCTCCTTTGTAAATCCAAACGTTGATCTCGCATTCCCTTGCTGTCCACATTCTGGAGTAACAGATTAAATTATCAGAATTACAAGCAAGCTTCTCTTTTTTAGCTGACATTATTTCTCAGATGTTTCCATATCACAATTATGGTTGGGAGGGGGCCTGATTGGAGAAAGAAACTTGTACAACAGTAATTTTTTAAAGGTGTAAGCAAATAATATTAACAGCATTGCGACTATTCTTTGCTGGCTAAATATTTAGTAGTATGAATGAACAAATCAAGCAAAGGCATTTGGAAGTAGATACAATAAAATAATTGCTTTATCTATGGAACATTATTCCTTTCTCTCAAAAAAATACAATATTACCAGACCATTTTGGACTTTGGGGAAAATTTATAATGTATTAACTTTAAATAAGGAGCACAGCTGGAGAAAAAAATTATCCATACTTCAAAAGTTCTCTCACCAATTTTACTTTATATATATGAAATTATAAACAGGGAGAGGGAAGAAATAAATTCTAACTCAGCTACAGACAGACAAGTAGGAGAAAGACTGGAACAAGCAAAGTCAATGGGGAAGCCAGCCAGCAGGAAGTTGGAAGTCTCAGTCATTTGAGGTCCTTGCCACACAATCCTTGTTTAACAATGGCAACTGGGACTGCCAGAACTACGATCACCAGTGTTGCAATCATATGACTTTTTGACTTATGATCATGTTCTTTCATGGCTTGAGATTCCAGTCCCAATTAGCATTGTTAAATGAGGACGACCTGTACAGTGTTAGTACTGATCCTTAAACTTGTCAGCTGTTGCCATATCAGCTGCAAATATCTGGAGAATCTCATTGGAAATCTTTCTATAATCAGGTCATCTGGCAATTTACCAATTACCAAGAGTATCTCACTGGTGTTTTTCAGCATGCTTACCACCATCTCCACAAGACCCACTGCCACAATGTCTTTGGGTTTTGCATCTTTGGTTCCAATGTAGGAGCCAATAGTGTCACACGACCAGGGAGAGTACTGGCTATAATCATTTCCTTTATATTTTCCTGCTACCTTCAGGTCTTCATCCAAATACTGCATAAAAACAAAGCCCACTCAAGTCAGAGAAAGAAAGGAAGCACTATGCTGTCATTTGGAATTGTCTAGACTAATTGCAGGTAAGAACATTTATTAAACATTTGAGACAATCTATGAGGTTTGGAATTTCTCAAACTTTTAAAACTAATTCCTAATCTATTTTTCTCCACCATGAGGAGAAAAACAGCAGGGAAGACTTACCTGAACAACATGCAACCTTCCCTGCCAGCTTTCCTATTAACAGTAGTTGTGGGAAGCTGGCAAGGAAGTTCCTAAATGGCGATCATACAACTGTATCTCATTGCAAAGTCATAATCATGAACCAGTCATTAAGATGCCTAGATCACAATTATGTGATCACAGGGACGTTGTGATGGTTGCAACTTCTTGGATAGGTCGTAAGTCCCCCTTGTTGAGCATATTTGTAACTTTGAATGGCTGTTGAATGAGGGGTTGTAACCAAAGGACTATTTGAATCTGTAATTCTAGAGTACTGTGACCTTCAAAATGGTCTACACACCACACTATACTACAGTTCACTACCCTGACATCCTGTTTAAAGAAAGAGATACTATGGTTAAACAAAATATATTTTATTGCCATTATTTCATGATTAGGATTAGGATTTTTGTTAGAATCTCCTTATTTCTACATTATCTTTTTTCATTTGAACTGATGAGTCCAAAGTCTTTGGCAGTTGGGTTTGAAGCCCTTACCAGGTTTGTGAACACTGATACTTCTTTTTCTGAGGTCTGCAGAAATCTGTTTTGAATGGGACATGATTCATTTCCACAACAATCGATCATGAAATGAAGACTGATGGTGCCCACCAACAATATTTTAATGGGAAGAACCCCTCAAACTCAGTGTCTAATTATCATCCCAGTGATTGGGACACCTGATTCAACTTTTCCCTTAAGATAGTTGGTTAATCTAGATCTTCATATATATTTTCCAATAAACAAAGTGATTTCTACTCATTATGTCTGCAGGATTATGGATTCTTCTAAAAACTTCACAAAATTTTCTTAGCACTATATATATTTAAGTTTAATAAGCATGAGTTCATCATTGGGGTATTCTAAGGATGCTAGTTGAGATACTATTCATATTCTGACTGTGGCCATCTGATGAGATACACAGATATTGTGAACTGGATAGACTAGACCAGCCTCTTTCCTTTACATGGTATGATGGGACTTACATCATGGCACAATATTCTTCAAACAGGTTATTTACATTTCTCTCTTTAGGACAAATTTCCCATATTTTTTTAAAGCACATGTGTCATATTCTCTACTAAATTGTTTTAAACACATGCTTACCTCATCAGTATGTAAAGAATGAGGCAGGGTTGGTGATGATGCAAATGGTGGTGGGGAGATGACCTTCCTTTCTTCCAGCTGAGCCATAATCTCCTTTCGCCTTCGATGCAATTCATCTAAACTAGGATGTGGCTGAGGGGGAGCCCGACTATACGGCTCCTGAAGGTTTAAAAAAACATACAGATATGAAGATTCCTGTATTCTACAAATGAACTTAAGTCTACAGTCCCAAAGTTGTAAGATACTCTAGCAAAGCAGCAAAATTATTTCAATACAATATAAGTTTCTCAGTAATCCTCCCTTCTTAGATTAATTAATTTCTGTTAAGGCATTATCAATTTCATAAGGCGAAGGGCAAAACTATTCTGCTCAACAGAATTTTAGAGAAAATTAGGAATGCTACCTTAAATTTCCATAAAATTAATGTAAGATTTTAATATCACATTTTATATTTAAGTTTTGATTTTTTTAAAAATGTAAACATAGCAAATTAATCACCTTTTTGGTGACTGAAGGAACGGAAAGCTATTACAATCCAAATTATACACTGCTCAAAAAAATAAAGGGAATACAAAAATAAGATATCCTAGATCTGAAAGAATGAAATATTCTTATTAAATACTTTGTTCATTACATGTGCTGACAACAAAATCACACAAAAATTATTAATGTAAATCAAATTTAGCAACCCATGGAGGTCTGGATTTGGAGTTACACTCAAAATTAAAGTGGAAAGAAACACTACAGTCTGATCCAACTTTGATGTAATGTCCTTAAAACAAGTCAAAATGAGGCTCAGTAGTGTGTGTGGCCTCCACGTGCCTGTATGACCTCCCTACAACGCCTGGGCATCTTCCTGATGAGGTGGCGGATGGTCTCCTGAGGGATCTCCTCCCACACCTGGACTAAAGCATCCCTCAACTCCTGGACAGTCTGTGGTGCAACGTGGCATTGGTGGATGGAGCGAGACTTGATATCCCAGATGTGCTCAATTGGATTCAGGTCTGGGGAACGGGCGGGCCAGTCCATAGCATCAATGCCTTTGTCTTGCAGGAACTACTGACACACTCCAGCCACATGAGATCTAGCATTGTCGTGCAATGCTAGAAGGAACCCAGGGCCAACTGCACCAGCATATGGTCTCACAAGGGGCCTGAGGATCTCATCTCGGTACCTAATGGCAGTCAGGCTACCTCTGGAGAGCACATGGCGGGCTATGTGGCCCCCTAAAGAAATGCCACCCCACACCATTACTGACCCACTGCCAAACTGGTCATGCTGGAGGATGTTGCAGGCAGCAGAACGTTCTCCACGGCGTGTCCAGACCCTGTTACGTCTGTCACATGTGCTCAGTGTGAACTTGCTTTCATCTGTGAAGAGCACAGGGCGCCAGTGGCAAATTTGCCAATCTTGGTGTTCTCTGGCAAATGCCAAACGTCCTGCACAGTGTTGGGCTGTAAGCACAACCCCCACCTGTGGACGTCGGGCCCTCATACCACACTCATGGAGTCTGTTTCTGACCGTTTGAGAAGCCACATGCACATTTGTGGCCCGCTGGAGGTCATTTTGCAGGGCTCTGGCAGTGCTCCTCTTGTTGCTCCTTGCACAAAGGAAGAGGCAGCGGTCCTGATGCTGGGTTGTTGCCCTCCTACGGCCTCCTCCACGTCTCCTGATGTACTGGCCTGTCTCCTGGTAGCGCCTCCATGCTCTGGACACTACGCTGACAGACACAGCAAACCACCTTGCCACAGCTCGCATTGATGTGCCATCCTGGATGAGCTGCACTACCTGAGCCACTTGCGTGGGTTGTAGACTCCGTCTCATGCTACCACTAGAGTGAAAGCACTGCCAGCATTCAAAAGTGACCAAACCATCAGCCAGAAAGCATAGGAACTGAGAAGTGGTCTGTGGTCACCATCTGCAGAACCACTCCTTTATTGGGGATGTCTTGCTAACTGCCTATGCTTTCCACCTGTTGTCTATTCCATTTGCACAACAGCATGTGAAATTGATTGTAAGTCAACGTTGCTACCTAAGTGGACAGTTTGATTTCACAGAAGTGTGATTGACTTGGAGTTCCATTGTGTTGTTTAAGTGTTCCCTTTATTTTTTTGAGCAGTGTACATTTCCAGGTTTGGAATCTAATAATCTGTTAGTTATTATGCTAAATGTATTAATGTACTTTCTAATCACTGATACTAGTTTTCCATGAACATTTGACTATAGTCTTTACCTAATTATACTTAGTGAACAAAAGGAAGATCACCAAAGCAGGGGTGGGATTCTACCAGTTTGGACCGGTTCTATAGAACTGGTTGTTACGATTCTGCGCAGTTCAGAGAACCGGCAAATCGCACAACTGGCTGGCCCTTCCCCTCCCCACCCGCCCCATCACTCCTTATCTCGCATGTGTGCCATCCAACTTGCCTGTGTTATGCCTTCGCCTATTTTTTTAAGTTGCAGTTTTTCCTTTTCCCCCCCGATAATCAACCGTTCCGACTATCAGCTGTGCCAGGTGATTTATATTAGCTAGAAAGCAGGAAATCATTGAATTTCTTGTTTTCTAGCTAATCAAAATCTCTGTTGTACTGCTTTGCCTTTGCCCAGGAGCCTTCCCTGAGTCAGGGGTGGTATTCAGGGGATAGGGTGGGGGGAGAAGTGGCCTGAGAGCAGAGCTGAACCTTCCTTAGGATTGAAGCTTCTACTTTTCAGTGCAGACTCAGGCAGCAGATTGCAGAAAGGTAGATCTGTGAGTGAATCTTTGATTCTGCAAGCAACTCAATCTGCCTGCCTGCTTTGCCTGATTTTGGGTAAGTTGCTCTTTTTTTTATAAAAAAATATCAGTATTTACATAAATATTTACATACAAGCCACACCCATCCAGTGACACAACCACTAAACCATGCCCAGTCAAGCCAGGCCCACCCAGTCACATGACCACCAAGCCACACCTACAAATTAGGCCACGCCCACAGAACCAGTTAAGAAATTTGAATCCTACCCCTGCACCAAAGCCACATATATAAGAAGCAATCTTGTTTCATTAAGACTTACACAATCAGAAGCATACATATGAATAATATAAAATACTGTAGATGTTTATAATCTGCTCACCGTGGCTTTGAAGAAGGTAGGAGACCACAGAAGTTATCAGTTCATTGTCTGTAGACATTGGAACACAGTAACCTGGGCTGCAATTTATCCTGCCATTTATCGGCTATCCAGATATTTAAAACCCACATTGGCCTCTTAAGAGATACTCAGTTATTTTGCCTCTCTAAACTCTGGAATGTACCGAAACAACATATGCCAACCACTCTATAGTTGTCCTGATTCTTTGCTACACACCAGAAATACTATCTATCTGTCTGGTTTGTGTATCTGTGAATGAATGGCTTCAGCAAAGCTAAGCTTAAAAAAACCCTCTAAAAAATAAAAGACAGAAGTACTTACTTAGGCTATTCCTCAGGCCAGGGTTCTCCAACCTGTGGGCCATGGCCCACTATTGGGCCAGGCCTATTTGCAACCAGGCTGTGTGAGCAGTAGGCTGGCACGCACATATGCATGCAATCTGACTGATGCGATCAGTGGGCACTGGCACTTGCAGCCCCACTTGCATGAGCGGCAAGTGCCAGTAGGCAAGCGCCTGTTGCTCACACAAATGAAACTATGTAAGTGCACAGACTTGCCCCTCAAACAAAACCATTTCCTCTCCTCACACCCCATGCTGGGCCACTAATCTGGAAAGATTGAAGAACACTGACTTAGGTCATTAAGAATAAATTGTGGTCTTCCTGCAAACTGGAGTTCTGTTCTGGAATTTGATGGGGAAGAAATGCAATTCTATCCCATTTCATGATTTACAACAATCAATTATAGGTTTTCAATGCCTTAAACCTTCCTCATTCCTTTCAGAAGCAAAATTAATTATAAAAAACAAAAATAAATTTAAATTTAATTTGAGATATGTGCACAACTTGGCTGTTCTTCCAATATTGTATTTTGATAGATTTTTAAATCTAAACTCAGAATATACATTGCCCTGAGTTAACTGGCTTGATTAGTTTAGGGACCTTAATGAAGCTACCTACCCATAAAATGAGAGAGCACACAATTGTTGCAAGAATTAAAACTAAAAATGATGCATTGCTATTACCATGATCATTAAATTAAAAATGTAACATACTCTATGATATGAAGGTCTAATCTGATTCATATGTGGTCCAACCGGATAGTAGCCCTCCACTTGTTGATATCTGTCTCTTGTTTCAGGTACATACGATGATACAGCAGGTGGAGAAATTTCAATTGGAACAGGACTTCCTCGGATAATATCTTCCCGTTGGTATGGCTGAGCAGCAGGATACACACGCCTGCTGTCATAATGGGGGGGATATACAGGTTGACTCATGGGAGGGTATTGCTGTGGCTGTGTGCTGTATTGCGAGTTCATGATGCGATCTTGGAGATAGGGTGCATAATGTTGTTCTACAAAAGGAGGACCAGGTTCAGGAATAGATGATGGAGGTCGGACAAATCGAGACATGCACTGCAGTGATTGAGCTGGAGGATAATATACACCTAAGTATATGAAACGAGATTTAGAATAATATTTAGTCCACTGTTTTAACTACTTCGGAGAATCAGAGTTTGCATGAAACAAAATGTTGGTTAATTTTTTTTTCCCATTCACATCTGAGGACATCCATTTATTTTTGCAAACTACATCTGTCATAAAAGATGATAGAAAGCATCATATTCTGATGATAGAATTTAATCAATATTTTCTATGCAACCACTACTGTATAGTGCAGGGGTCTTCAAACTTGACAGCTTCAAGACTTGTGGACTTCAACTCCCAGAATTCCTCCTCCAGTCATGTTTGCTCAGGAATTCTGGGAGTTGAAGCCCACAAGTCTTAAACTTGCCAAGTTTGAAGACCCTTGGTATAGTGCAATATTAATGCAAAATCAGGAGTTTTCAATTTAATTGTATAGAATGTGAAGGATGTGTGTTTGTGTTTTATTTTTATAGTTATAATGTATGCTGAAGATAGCATTTAATTTTGTTGTACAGGGTGCAACGACAATAAAGTAAACTAAAAAAAAAGGGAAAAAAATAACACTTTATTAAGACTAAATTTCATATAGATGGGATTTACCTGCTTGATAGGGTGGAGGTTCAAATGGGGGAGCTGTTCCTCGAGGATCTGGATAGAACACATCAGTTTGCTGAGCTGGGTACAACTGGGAACCTCGGGGAACTATTTGGAGCTGCTTGCCTACTGAAATTGGAGGCAACTCTGTAGGTCCTCGGGGGGGCACTGGGTGAGAGCTCTTGGAAACAGGTTCCAGCCTAGATGACACAAACACAACGTTGGAACAATTACAACTTAGTATAGATACAGCAGTGTTTTATTGTTGCTATGTGCTCCCATTTACTTGTGGGAAATTTAGAAGGATTTCTCTCTCAAGTATTGCTAACGGTGATAGACAGTGATAAGCAGCAGTTTTCAATGATCTGAGAGAGGATTCCTCATACCCCTACATCTGGGAAATGACCTTTGGATCACCTGATTCCAAGCACATGCTCTTCTGTTATATTCTGCCACTAATCTAAGTACTCCATCCTTATGTTTCACATTGCAGGAAACCCCAAGCACTTTTTCTAATTTAGACCAATATCAGATGGCTTTTATAAGAATCCCTCTTCCGTTTTATTTATTTGATTATGTCCCACCTTTATTATTTTTACCAAATAATGTTGCAAACATATCCAACACATATTTCTCCTCCTCTTTTCCCCACATAATGTGACATTATGGAAGACATCCAAAGAAAGCGACTTTTAAATGCCAGGATCTATGACTGAACGTATAGTGTGGACTTAAGGAGAATCTTCCTGGACTATCTAAATGGAACTGACTAACTGTGGGACATAAAGAACTATATCTATTGTATTCCCCGAGGAGCAAAGCTAGGACTGTGTAAACAGTTTCTAAGCTGGCTTTCTGAGGTCATAGACAATTGAGACTGTGGGGCGATGATAAAACACTGACAAGACTATTGAGCAATACTTGGACCTATCAAAATAATAAGATGTTGCACCAGGGGGAGATGAGTGAATTTCAAAGAGAAATGGTGTTGATGTTCCAAAGTACTTATGATATGTTGACAAGGAACCACAAGGAGATAAAAGACATACATGATATACATGGGGAATTAGAAAATGTTCAACAAGGGACAATGAATAAAGATCATAAAGCACAGGAAATAGAGGAGATAATAGAAAGACCAGAGGAAAAGATAGAACAGATAAATCAACAAATAAAAGAAGAAAAGGAGAAGACAATGAAGACTTATGAATTAAATCAGGAAAAATATATATTAAGAAACTAAAAAATGATATTGGATAAACAGAAAAATATTTTTGAAGAGAAGATAGGGGCTTGGGCAGATCCTTGGGAGGTACGGCAGCAAAAGATAGTAGAAATGGATGAAATATTTGGATTAAACAGGAAAAAGGTAGATAGAGATAAAGACCCAATGGGGGAATGCGGGAGGCAAGTCAAAAAATGAATAAGAATCGAAATACTAAAACAGACAAGAGATGATGTTATAAAGGAAATGCTTTTTAATACAAGATTGGCTTTATTAAGAGCTAGAATAGAGGTAGAAACAAGATAAAGGGGGAATATTATTATACATATTTTTATATAATATACTAAAAGCAATAGCTAGATGTAAAGATTAGATGTTGAAAGATGCTGTCACTATGTATGTTTAAATAATATTGTGACTGTTATTAGAATGGCACACTAAAACATTGAACAACTAAATAATGAAGGAACACACTCTAATATAAATATGTGTTACAATTACGTAAGTATGATTAAAGTAACAAACATTAATATTACTATTATTACTTGTATCTAAATGAATGATACCCAAACACCTCACTGTTCATACAATGATATTGATGTATATTAAAAAATATTAAAAAGAAACATTAAAACAACCCTGTGAGGTGGATTGGGCTGAGAGAACTGGCTCAAGGTCACCCAGCTGGCTTTCATGGCTAAGGTAGGATTTGAACTCATGGCTTCTTGCTTTCTAGCCTTGCACCTTAACTATTACAGCAGCAACCTTACAAAATTACGGTTTGCTTTCTTATTCAATGTAAGCAGAAAATCTCAATAGTGGCAGTCCTTGACTGTGACTAAGTTGGAAACTTAAGGAAGGCTGGCACAGTCAATTCTTGGATGGAAAATTTCAAAGAAATATTATGGTGGTTGGTCAATTTGGGAAGTTTTTAAAAAGTATTTTGAAAGAAAATGATTGCAAATTACTTCCACATTATTGGCAGGATATGAACATGAACAGCAAACAAATTCAAGTTTAAGGAGCTCTTATACTTTGAATACAGGGCGAGGGGTCCCCAACCTCTCGGCCGCGGCCCACTATTGGGCTGTGAGCTCTTTGCAACCAGGCCACAGAAACGACAGGCAAACGGGCACCCACGCTCCATTTGCATGAGTGGTGTGCACATTTGCCAGCCACTTGCAGGGAATGATCCTCACCCCCACCAGCAGTCCACAAAGCTATATATATATATGTGTCATTTTTTCCGGAATACAATTTTTGCATATGGAAGCATGTGTGGATTACTCTTTTGCAAAGCTTATTTATTCTAAAAGATAAACAATATAGAAGCATACAAATCAGGAGGTGATCCAGGGGCACTGCTACTGTGGTGGTCCATCTTCCCAGGTTTCATGACTGAGTCATAACTGGAGTCGGTCCCACGAGAGATAAGTTGTGTCACTGTACTGCCTGGTGAAACAATCCCATTTGGCAAGGTAGAGGGTTTTCTACTGGGTAAGTCCACTGTTGCTTCATCTGAGATAATAGCTGCTGCTGGCAGGCCCACTTCATTTAGTTGACCCAAAGAGGCACTCAAAGGTCTTCGAGGAACTAGACGTTTGTTCATCTTGCGAAACCTTCAAGAAAAAAAATATGGCAATTAATCAACAAAACAAAATAGAAGTATTATAGCTGCAGCAGGATACATTTTAAATCAGGCCCAATATTAACAAATATGATAAATACGTGCGGACTTCATACAGCTAGATAATACAAATAGCCCTTGAATTACAATGGTAATTCTCAAAGATCCATCTCATCCTGAGCACTCTTTTTTGAACTATTACCATCTGGCAGAGAGTACAGGATAATAAAACAAGGACAAATAGGCTGAAAAACAGCTTCTATCCCAGGGCAGTAACTCTGTTGAATTCTACTGTATACTGCAATATTAATGCAATATCAGGGGTTTTCAATTCAATGTATAGAACATGAAGGATGTGTGTTTGTGTTTATTTTCAGTCATAATGTACACTGAAGATGGTATTTAATTTTGTTGTACGAGGTGCAATGACAATAAAGTAAACTAAACTAAACTAACTGGGATTGGAATTTATATTGCTATACAATGTGGTTGTAAAACATGGCATCACATGGCTGCTGTCAACTCATAAAGTGTTCCTATGCCTGTTTTAGAGTTGCCATAAACAAGGGGGGGGGAGGAAATCTGAAGGAGCAGTGTAGCAGTTTAAAGCCAGAAGTACATTCCAACACTTATCTTACAAAGATTGTAGTTAAGCTACCGGATCTTCTGCCCATGAAAATCCTTAATTGGAGAACATGATTGATGACACCCAGCCTGTGAAAGTGCTTCAGTGGAGAATCTGATTTATGACACACCCAGGGGGAAAACAGGGTCACAGGTAAATTACGTATGCCAGAGTTGGCTTCATACAGGTTAATGTTAGACATGTTGCTCCTAATAAATCTTTTAGTTTCTTTTGAAGCTTGACTCAAGGCTCATGATTTAATTAGGGCAATTGCCAGAACCCTGACAACTGTATCACTTAACAACAGCAAACTCAGCACTCCTCATGCCCATGATTAATTGAACTCTGCAAGTTGATAACTGAGGTTGATAATCCTAAGTCAAGCCATTCTGAGTTTGATCCCTCCCAGTCCCAAGCCTTGGTTCTTCTAAGGTAAGGGCCTGCCTCCTCCCAACTTCCCCCCCTCGCCATCTGCATCTTTGGCTGCTCTACAACCTGCCTCGAGGGAAGTAGCCTCAAAACTGTAGGCTTCTGGGGCTGCTTGTCACACTGTGGCTCAGAGACTTCTTGGTACACTGCGGCTCTGGGACTGCAAGAAGCCCTGAACCTCAGTACACTGCAAAGCCACCCTGGAAGCCTCAGGTGCTCCAGCAGTATGGCATGGTATGAAGCCCAAGCCACCCCAAGAAGCCCCAGAACATCAGTGCAATGCAAAGTCACAGGTATCCTAGGAAGCCTAAACCACTCCAACCTAGTCCCAGTCATCCTCACTATTCTTCTACCCAGGGTCCTGCAATCCTGCACTGCCACGCCAGCTGACCTTCATCGTCCTCTTGCTTCTACTGACAAGATATGTCTTCCTTGGCCCTTCATAAGGCATCTGCTATCTTCCCCATGTCTGTGCTGTGTGCGACCTTAGGCAGAAAGCCTTGTATAGCCAGCAGCTGACTCATGAAGGGCCAAGCTGGGCATGCTTGGTCAGCTGTGGAAGCAAGAAGATACCAAACATCACATATGGCTTAGGGGAAGGTAGAATGCAGGGCGCCAAAAGGACAGAGATTGTGAGGAGATAGGCAGATAGGAGTTAAAGCACCCCTGCAGTTGTAAGTGCAAACAGGTTGCCAAGTGTCCAAATTTTAATCACATGATTGTGGGGAACTGCAATACCCATAATTTTGGGGAGTGATTGGAAGTCCCTTCGTTCAGTGCTGCCATAACTCTGGCAGTAGTCACTGAACAATGATTGAAACTGAAGACTATCCTGTAGTCCATCTGTGGCAATCCTTTTCACCCCAAAGGCTGTAAAAGTTGCTGATCTCGAAAGCTGCAAACATATCTACTCTCACTTATCCACCACCTACAGGCTTGATACTCAGCAACCAAAACATTCACTTCTTCACTTGGCCCTCTCTCCTTCCCTTTGTAGTTTCTAGACAAGTAATTTCCAAGTATGAATTTTGATGATTCCATGTTCTGTTTCTTTTTTACCACAAAAGGAAAGTAAAACTTCAAGCATTTGTACAGTGAAATCCTCGGACAATGGCCCTTACTATTCATGTCTTTCTCTGTGAAATCCTTTGAAGCAACAGCTACATGTTTCATGGTGCTTCTGCTTGTCTCAGTAACTCCCATTTATATTCCTATGTTGCAGGAACCACTGGTGATTGCACTCAGTTGAGCAGCAAAATGGATGAGAGAATATGCATGTATTGTATGGAGATTATAGATAATGATGGAACAAAAGCAAGGAAAAAACATTAGGTTCCAATATTAACAGGGGTAAGATGAAGATGATTTTGTATATGTTTCTGAAAGGACTAAGAGAGAGATGAATTACAAAGACTAAAAGGATATGAATGCTAGCAGATGGGCTAGCAGCTAATTGACGGTTATCTCTGACCTTGAGTTCAGAGTAAAAAACAGTACTGTAACACAAAATTTCCCACATGTCAACTGCACATCTTTTAACTCAGCCTTCAAGTATGGCCATATCACAACCTATTTGCAGTAATTGTTTCCCAATGATCCAGTAGCTCAGTTACCCAACCCTTCCAGCTTTGCAGTCCAGTGGTGGTGGGGAGGGAAGGTTCCGCACGAACGGCCAGTAAGCGTGCACACGCAGCTCCATTCGTGAGTGGCAGGCATGTGCCCCCACTTCTTGCGCACATGGAGTGCACACATTTGCCTGCCACTTCTGAGGCCCGGTTTCTAATGGCTTACAGCCCAGTAATGGGCCACGGCCTGGGGGACCCCTGGACTAGGTTTTTTTTTTTTCCACTGAGCTGTTTGCCAGGATTCCAAACTCTTGGGTTATTAATTATTGCCAATTGTTTTCAATTGCATTACTTCTAAATAGGAAGTCTTGTGATAAATGAAGATGAAACACATCTTCAGACCTCAACTCATCTTGTATTTTTTAAAATTATCAACAAATACAATCAGAGTCATGTCATAAGATAAAACATTACAAACGGAGATAGGAAATAAAATAATATGTTCACAAATTGTAAAACCACAAGAAGATTAATTAAAAATCCAAACCTGATTAAAGTAGGCAAGAAGATAATTTTTTGTAGCTGCTTTTAAGGGAGACTACACTTGCTCAAAAACATCTCTTCCCAACTCACATTTCTATGATGTTCATCTTCAAATGTAAAGATGCTGAATATTTCATTGCTCAGCCCAAGTGAAATAAATTAAGGATCCTGTCCTTGGCTTCCTAAATAGCTGAGGAAATGAGTGAAGCCTGGAAAATGGGGCCCTTTCAGTAAATAGAAGTGCTGATTTACTGCCAGCTTCTCAAGTTCTTAGGAGCTGAGGACTTGGAAGTACAAGGAAACAACAGCCAACAACTTAATAGCCAGCCATCAACGCCCCAATCAACAACTAAAATGTCACACACAACCAGACACCCCATAAATATTATGCATAGAATAACCTAAAGCACACATTCTAATGAGAGAGAAGTTTCTTGGATCCAGGATCCAGCACAAGTCCAAAAACTTGGAAGATTAAAACTCTGGTCCTGGTAACAGACTCAGAATGGATCCTGC